GATGCTGAGCCTTCAGGGGCGGAGGAGGCGGTGGCGGCTGAGAGAGGGAGGAGGGAGGGAAAGCAGGAAGGGGGCTGGAGAGGGCCAGGCTGGGTGGCTGGACTGGGTGCTGGCTGCGCTGCGCTGCTCTCAGCTCCCACGGCCTCTCCCATGCGCTGAAGGCGCCCGGCTGGGCCGGGCCGGCGGCCGGAGGGGAGGCTCCTCTCCATGGTCCAGAAGACCAGCATGTCCCGGAGCCCTTACCCACCCTCCCAGGAGATCCCCATGGAGGTCTTCGACCCCAGTCCACAGGTGAGATTCGGTGACGGGGCCTGAGTGGAGCGGGCGACTCCCATGGATCTTGGTGGGGTCAACTCGAGGGGCAGAGGGGTGGAAGAGATAATATGCCTGGCACGGAGAGAAGAGGGGCGCCTGCACGCCCCCCAATGCCCCTGGGCTAATGATTGATGGGCAGTTGGCTCGGAGTTGGGCTGCAGTGCCGCGGAGCAGAGAGGGGGCGGTTGAGCCGCCTGTCACCCTCACCTCCCCCGCATCAGGATCCCTAATGCTGGGGTACCATTTGTAGTGAACTAAGAGTTGGGCTGTTGATCGGGTGATCTGGGCGTTGAGAAGTGGAGGCTCAGGGACGCTGGAAAGCGAGGGGACAACGCAGAGCACGCTGGGGGGCACTGAGCGGGTGTGGGTGGGGCTGGGGTGACACTGGGAGAAGGCTGAGGAGATGGTCAGAGGGCGATGCCAAGAGGGCTTTCTAGCCACGGGGACATTGGCCCTGTGGGGAAGGGTCCAGCCCGGGGACAGGCCCGCTTCCCAGGCTCCTCTGTCCTACCCCTAGCTTGGACCCGCACCCCTCCCCCCACGCCCACGTTGGCTTTCCAAAGTTTGGAAAGTTGGATTCATGCCAACTCACTATTGAGGAGAGAAGGGAGCTGTGTTATCTGGGAGAGGGGCCTGTCATACACTTTGCCTGTTCCTAGGTGTAGTAGTTTCCCTGGAGTGACCAGCAGGACTTGGGTGGTCTTGCTAGGAAATTTCTCTGAGATATGTTTGCTTTCAATCCAACAACATCCCAAGTCTAGGACAGAGTTAACCCTTCTCTTGCTGTGGTCAGCCTGGGACAACTGTAACCACCATGATAATGTGGTCAATGGGTATGTAGGGGGGTCAGGTCAGACTAAAAATACCTCCCTCCTCCACCCCAGGCCCCTTGGAGCCTGGGAGGCAGCTGACTGGGGCCTTCCTTTCAGCTGTCCTCTGTCCTTCTGGGTGCCACTCCCTTTCCCAGCCTGGGATGGTGGCATTGTGAATAAGAGTATGGCACTCATTGGAGGGACCCTCTTGGGTTTGTAGGGATCCTCAAATTTAAGAGTTTGGGTATGTTTGATTGGAACGAAGGGGCAAGGGGAAGACTCTGGAAAGGTTCCTAGGACCCCTCCTCTCTTACCTATTTATCCTCCTAACTGTTTTCAGGTACTGGGAGTCGCTCTAGTCTGGTCATGGTTCATCCAGGTTATTTGGGGGGAAAAATAATAAGCAAACAAAACAAACAGGAATCTAGGGTGGAGGCCAGGGGAAGGGGTTCAGAGGGAATAAACCCTTTTTTTTGGGGGGGAGAGGAAATGAACTCTTAACCACACCCCAACCTCCATTCTGGACTGGCCTGAAGTTAAGTGTATCTTTGTAAATTGGGGAGGGCAAAGAAAAAAACCCTCTTTTTGAAAGGCTTTTAAATACCTGAAGCTCTTAACCTGAGTCTGTGGCATCTCAGGGGCTGTTCACTCTACCATCATATCCACTCCACCAAAACCAGGAGCCCTGGTCAGTTGTGATTGAGCCAGCCTGGCCTTTGGAGGCATGTGGGGCTAGACCAATGCTCTGGTTAGGGTGGGGCAGAGGAGCATTTAGATTGATGTTGCCTGGTGGATACCATGGGGACAGGGTGTGGGCAGTGGCAGCTGGGGTGGAGAGTGGAGGCATGATTACTCTTGCCCCCTTGAGGAGAGGTGTGTGCCTACTGTGATTTGGAGGAGGAGGTGGGATGAGGTGCTGTCAGGGGAAGGATCTGTCCCATGGTGCCTGGGCTGGCTGTTGATTTCCTCTCCAGATACTCTCCCAATCTCCTCCTTAGAAATCTTGCTTTGGGTTTCCAAGAGCTCTGAGTGGCCACTCCCCTCCCCACTCTGCGCAAAAATGAAGGAAAGAGTTGGGCACAGAGGTGAAGCCAAGCTGGGCTCTGGGTTGGCTATTTCTCCTCCCTGGGGACCACTAGCTCACGCAGCCCCCCTCTGACTCCAGCTTAGGCTGAAGGGACTTTCCTTGGTTTTCTTCGCCGTCCCCCCACCCCCCAGCACTGCAGGCAGCCTTTCCCTGGAGGCCTCTGCAGCCTACCCTGCATCTTAATTAGCTTTGCTGCCTAATGAGCCTCCAACTTCTCAGTGCCTTCCCTTTCTGGCTTGTTATGGGGTTTTCTATGTGTGACCCCTTAAGCCTCTCTTGCACTGTCCTCTACTCTATGATTGTGGTCTGGGCTGTCTGCAAAAATGAGAGACCCTCCCTCCCCTTGGACTATACCACCTAAGGAAGAGGATGGGGGTGGTGGGAGCTGTTCTGATGGGCTTGGTGGACCCGGAGGTTGAGGAAGGGCCTTCCTGATCCCACTCTTGTCCCTCCCGCTGCTTCTCTAGGGCAAATACAGCAAGAGGAAAGGGCGGTTCAAAAGATCAGATGGGAGTACATCCTCGGATACAACATCCAACAGCTTTGTCCGCCAGGTAAGGGAAGGAAACCGGGCTGAGCAAAGTGAAGTGGCTGTTGGTTGAGACCAGCATCCGTGAGCTGGGTCGGATATTTCCAGGCACCCTCCTCCACATCATTTGTCACCTGCCTAGAACCACCCCATCACCCTGACACCCCATGACCTCTCCGGGATGTGCTGTCAGCTGCACCCACTCCTTCAGTCTCTGCCCCCGCCCTGCCCTTCCCCCAGCACCAGGCGCCAGCCCCTGCTGCCTGCCTGCGTCATCTCATTCAGGGACAGCCTGGCCTGCCTCCTTCAAGCGTGCTTTGGGCTGTCACCCACTCCCCCTGCCGGCTGTCTGCTTTCATGTCCTCCCCCAGAATATGTGATAGGGTGGGGTAGAGGCAGGCCCTAAGAAATGAGGAGCTAGGATGGTTGGGTCTCTGGAACCCAAAGCTCCTGGAGGGGGTATGGCTCTGGGAAACGCCCTCCTCACACACCCACACAAGTGCTCTTTAATATGTAGGGTGGTGGAGGCAGGAGTGAGGTGATTTTAGAGAGGACTTTAGTCCAGCACCCCTGACTCAAGGAAGAATAACAGAAAGTAGGCTGCTAGGGTCTTCTTTTCTCAATGAGGAAGCGACTACCCTCATCTCTATTCTAACTCAACCTCAGGCCATTTTAGGCTCAAATAGAGGCAAGTGAGAAAGACATGTGGTTGCTATGACTACCTAACATCTCAACAAAACCTGGTACCTAAAAAAGGAGAGAAGGGCTTGGCATCAGACAAGGGACTGAATTGAGAAGAGGAGATGGACAGGGCATGTGAGAGCAGAAGACAGTAAAGGAAGGAGCCCCCTGGAGGCCAGACCCCCATGGGCCAGAGGGGAGAGCGTGGTGCTAGGCAGATGCTCCACAGACCAGAATGAATCAGGTCTTTCTTTTTGCTTCTGTCTCCACACTTGTCACATGTGAGCCCAAGCCTGAATTGCTTGTGTCAGGAAGGGGCTTTCTCTTAAAATTTTCTAAGCATACAAACATACTGGAAGTCCTCTCTTTAATTTCTCCTCTTCCCTGCTATAGCGAGGGTGGGCCAAGGCCAGGGCCAGGCATTAATGCTATATGTTGTCCCACTTGGAAGAAGAGGACCTTGGTTCTCAGTCCTGGAAGTCAGATCAGCTGCCCTGCCTCAGCCTCCAGTCCTTCTCTTAGCTCCCCAGGTCTGACCCCCAGTAGGTGGCAGTCAGTAGTGGGGGCAGTCCTTGCCACATCTCTGAGCTAAATATACCCTAGCAGTTTGCACATGTAGCAACTCTTCTTGTAACCTGAGCCCCCTGGGGGACGGGCAGTTTGGGCCACCCCCTAGGCCAGTAGGACCAGGCACCGAGGGCGCTGGGATGGAGGCGCCCAGCCGGACCCTCGTGGTGGTGAGCTGAGGGTGGGAGGGAAGGGTGGGAGCAGCCCCTCTGGAAAGCAGGAAGGTGGCCTTAACTCTGGCCTGTCCCTTTGCCCTTTCACCATTTCCCTGCCTCCTGCCTTTTCTGATACATCATGTGTGTATGTGTGTGTGTTTGGGGGTCAATAACTTTTCTGGGTCTCTCTGAATCTCTATTTCATCTCTGGTTCTGTTTAGTCTTGTAAGGAGGGGCAGAGAGTGGTAGATTAGCTGGTTTTTGGTTTCTTTCCTTTATGTCTCTTTCCTAGCTTCTGTTAGTGAGCTTCTCATCCCAGCTCTCACCCTCATTTTCATGATTCTCCCATTTTCTGAGTCTCCCATTTTCATGATTTGACTGCACACGGGACAGACGTCTACACTAGTTAGACTAGTTAGTGTCCACTGGCATCTGAGAGAAGGTGGAACTTTCTCATCTTTCTGATGCTCTCTCCCTCCAGACCAAACAAATGGACATTCCTTATAAGAGGCCCCATACCTCACATTACTTCCACCTCTTGTAGCCACGCTTCCCCTACCCAACCATATACAAGTCCTCACTGCCCAGCTTCTGCCCTCGTGTGCCTCATGCCCATGGGGACACAAATATCCAGGATACCCCCTTTGGTGTGTATGCATATGCACACTCTGTCATGTACACGCTGCACCTTCTGTAGAACACATCCTCCTACACATATTTGAGCTGTTGCACATCCAAGCATACATATGAATAAGCACATTCGTCACACTAAAGATCCCTCCATGCTCCATGCATCTTACATGTATGTATGTGTCCATCCCTAAAACAGTGCTTGGTCTCTAGTTGGTTACTATGGTCAGAGCCAGCTCCTAAGCACACCTTTGAGCCTTCATTCAGCCTGTGCCCAGCATCCTCTCTCTTGGAGAAAGGGCTGCTCTATCTGCTGCTCTTACCTCTTCTACCTGTACCACCTCAGGAATCACAGGTTCCCCTTTGTATTTTATGAGGGCCTGAGAGTTGAGGCTCTGAGTAGGCTGGCCTGATTCTGGCAATACTAATTAGACGAGGAGCTGAAGAGGTAGATCTGTCTCCAGCAGTACACAGAGCTCAGGCCTAAGCTAGTGGCTGCAGGCCCTGGAAGGGACTCCACGGGCCCTCTGCTGAGTGGATTGAACCAGTGCTGAGGTTAGGAGAGGGAAGCAGGAGCAGGGAGTGGAGACTTGTCCCCTGGCACTCCTCTCCTCCACTGGGCCCCTATCAGGTTCCCACCCCTCCCTGGGCCCCAAGCAGCTGTCCTTGGACCTGCCATAACCCAGTGTTTGCTGTTGTCTCCCTTCCCAGGGCCATGCGCTTCCTGAGGGCCTGAAAACCTCACTCTCTGCCCCCTTCCATCTAATAGCTCTTTCTCCTAGTATTGGTGGCAACACACTTGCTGACTGGGACTTGAGGTACCCAGGGTGACACTGACATGCCTTCTGAAATCCTGGGGCAGGAGGAGGCAGTATTGGCCCCGATCTGACCTGGTCTTGTCTGTCTTCAGGGCTCAGCGGAGTCCTACACCAGCCGCCCGTCAGACTCGGATGTGTCTCTGGAGGAGGATCGAGAAGCCTTAAGGAAGGAGGCAGAGCGCCAGGCCTTGGCACAGCTTGAGAAAGCCAAGGTGGGAATGAAGAAGGGAGGGAGGGATTGTGCTGGTATTTCCTCTTCTACCCTTAGGGCCTAAAAGGAGCCCCGATGGACGAAATCAGGCCTTTGCCCCCCTTCTTCCCAGCTGCGTTTCCCTAGTCCTCGATACGCCTTTGCTTCTTCATCTCCATCCTCATGTTGTTGTTGTGGGGTGTTACTGAATTGTATAACCTCCTTATATGATATAATAAATGCCCAATATTGTTTCCAGCACATAATAGGAGTTTGAGAAATGCTTAATTTTGCTTTTTTCTGGAGTCAAACTTTCTAGGCTGGAATTTCAGTTTTGCTTCTTAGCTGTGTGATCTTAAGCTAGTTATTTAACCTTTCTGAACTGTAACTTCCTTACTGAAATGAAGTTGAGGGTTATACTTACTTTCATAGAGTTCTTTTTTAATTACATTTTATTAATTTTAATGAACAGTTACAGAGATTTTGGGTTTCCATTCATTCATTGTTGCACTATTTTCTCTACCCTCGCCCCCCAGTTCGTTCCTCTTTTTTTCCCCCTTGAAAGTCTGTTTTAATTTTCCAATTGCCGCAGTGCTTGTCAAAGCCAGTTCTGATTAATCTCCTTTGTCAGTGTGTCCTTTGCCATTCCCTATCACTCCTCCCTGAGAGAGACTTCACCCTGATTCATAAGGAAAAGGGGACGTTGTAGGTTTCAGGGTGAAGATCTTCTCTCACTACTCTAAAGGGCCCCTTTGGCAATAGGAGACACATAGACTATTTGTGGAGATTGATTTTGGAATGTAGATACACTGTTATCAATTGTGCTTTGCCGTACATGTTCATATCCTTGAAGATGTATCATGGAACTGTTGCAACCTAGAAGACACAAATCTAACTAACAAGTTAAAAGTACATGAGTCAAAAATGGAAAAGCAATATTTGAAGTAGAGGTTCTAATAGTGGCACAAATCAAGTTACAGATGGAAGGCAGTTCTTAAAATAAAAGGCCTATTGACTAGCACTTTGTCTATTATAGTATAAAGGTTAGGAACCACAAGATGTAGAGGCTCAACTATGCCATTTATTGTTCTTAAGTCCTGGAGCAAATTCCATCTGCCACTGGGTTGTTTTACAGCTCAGAAGTCCGCATGCAAGGCAGAGGTGAAGTAAGGAACTGCTTATGAGGTTTTCCATCAATTTCAACAACTAAGAGATAGTGAGAAGAGTTGGAACCTCAGAAAGCTTTTAGGACTGAATAGTAGGCTCTTGTGTCCAGGAGAAAATGAATATACTTACCAGTAGTGTTAATGCTCACCCACAGCTCTTCTGGGAGGATCTAAATCGTTGAAGGGTTCATAGAGATTTTGTGATGAAAAATGAAGTGATACATATAAAATGTATAACACAGTACCTAGCATAGTAATGTTACTGTTTTTATTATTCTTCCTTTTCTTGATATGGGTTCCCACTTAGCCTCTTCTTAGTGCTTCCCTATACCATGGGAAAACTAAATTCTGTTTACTTTTTTAAATTATAAAATTTGACACTCATACAGCAAACACCCCAAACCACTTGTTTCCGTTTTACCATCACCACTCCACTCAGGTGGTTTAGTGACTCTCGTCCCTCTATGAACCTCTTAGACCAAGCCAGTGGCATTTGCTGTGCGCACCAATGTCGGCTACAATCCATCTCCCGGGGATGAGGTGCCTGTGCAGGGGATGGCCATCACCTTTGAGCCCAAGGACTTCTTGCACATCAAAGAGGTGAGAGAGCACTTTGCATCTGGAGGAAGGGCGAGAATGTGGGAGGGATGGCTAAGGCTGTGGGGGAGTCAAACAGAGTGGGAGTGACAGTGCTATGTGGCATTGGGCAAATCTTTCACCCTCTCTGACAGTCTGGCTTCTCATTAGTAAAATAGGTGATAGTGCATAGGTCACGGAGAAACCCTGATGGCACAGGGGCTAAGTGTTTAGCTGCTGGCAACCACAAAGTTGCCGGGTTGAGCCTGTCAGTCACTCTGTGGGAGAAAGATGCTTGTAAACCTCATGTGGCCGTTCTGCTGTATTCTGTGGTCACTGAGAGCCAGAACGGATTTGATGGCAATGGGTAAATGGGTAGATCCTGGTCACAAGATTTTTGAGAGGAGTTTTGATGAGGGCTGTAGTGAGAATGACAGTGTACCAGGCACATGTAGGTGTCAGCATTTGTCCTTTTCACTGACTTTCCAGGGCTGGGCAGGGACATGCGGGGTGAGAACTGAGGAGGAAGGATTCAAAACAGGAATGTGCGTGGGGAGGGATGGTCCATGGCCAGAGGGGTCCTAGAGTAGCCTGAGAATCAAGTGTCAGAGCCTGGTACATGATGGGAGGATTTATTTGAAGGTGCCATCCCTGCACAGGAAGTTTCCTCTAGAGGGTGGCTGCTGGTTTGCACCTCTATTTTCCCCCTGCATCTCTTTCACTCACCCACCATGTGGTTTGCAGAAATATAACAATGACTGGTGGATTGGCCGGCTGGTGAAGGAGGGCTGTGAGGTTGGCTTCATCCCCAGCCCCGTCAAACTGGACAGTCTGCGTCTGCTGCAGGAGCAGAAGCTGCGTCAGAACCGCCTCAGCTCCAGGTGTCTGGTGGGGGCAGGCTCTCCTAGTCCCAAGGAGACACTGTCAGCAGGATTTGTGCCTCCAGGCCTGACCCACTGCCCTGAGGGCACAGAGTCATCACCATGGGGCTGGAGGGTCTCCAGGGAGGGCTCCATGGGAGAGAACAATATCCCCCACCCCTTTGCTCACAGCTCCATTTGCTTCTCTGCCCACACAGCAAATCAGGTGACAACTCCAGCTCCAGTCTGGGAGATGTGGTGACTGGTACCCGCCGCCCCACACCCCCTGCCAGTGGTAAGAGTTGCAGCCATCTCAGGAACTGGGGGGAACTTCTGGGGGTGGTCTTCCCCCTACCTGTCCCCTTCTTTGCCTGGAATAGAGAGTGCCCCGTCCTGAGTCCTTGAACACATCCAGTGATCCTCCTCCATGAAGGATAGGAAATCCTACAAACTGATTACATCAGTGCCCATTCTACATGTCTCTCCTCTCCCATTTCTTTGGTAGCTCCATCTCTCTGCCTGATACCCCGCCCCCCCATTCATTTCCCCCAGTCCTGTTCCATTCACCTCTTCTTCTTTCTTTTTTCCCCAACCCCATCCCTCTGTCTGTACTTGTGTCTCCATGTCCATCTCACTCTTTCCCCGCCTTGTCTTCTTCCTCCTTTCTCCTGATCTCTCCGGTCCAGGTAATGAAATGACTAACTTAGCATTTGAACTAGATCCCTTAGAATTAGAGGATGAGGAGGTGGAGCCTGGTGAGCAGAGTGGCTCTGCCAAGACTAGTGTTAGCAGTGTCACCACCCCTTCACCCCATGGCAAACGCATCCCCTTCTTTAAGAAGGTAATTCCTGCTGGGTTCTTGAAAGAGGGGAGGGGGTTCAAGGCCCAGGCATTTGCTGATGGGTGGGAGGAAGGGAGGGAAAGAGAGGATGAATTCAGTTTTACCAGCCTAATACTGTGGGGTAATGGCTGACTCCTTGTTAAGGAGGGCAGGGTGGAATGACACTGAGAATGGGCACGACCATCTCCATACACTATCCCACCTTTGCCTACTTTCCAGGAAGGGATAGTTTTTTCACTGGCAGTCCCTCCTCCCTGAGAGGGATGCACACCTTGAGGAAAAAGGTTTTAGTTCTAATAAGAACTAACTTTCCACATCACTACCAATGGGAGAGTCCAAAGCAATCCACCACCCCCATCCTGGTATAAAATAGAATTCCTTCTTCTTTGCTCTATTTGAACACCAACAGACTGGGATGGGTACATGGGGAACTAATGACTGCAGAGCAAGAGAGTATAGGGGGAAACCCTTAAAATGGGCAGGTTGCTATATACTGGGGGGGGCAGGAGGTGGGCACCAAATTGAGGTCATCAATCTCTAAGTTCTTTTTAAGACTCAAAAAAAGAATAAGGCATGTTTAAATCTTCCCTAGTCTGCAGGACTGGCAGTCCTGATCCCAGCCCTGATTCAGGGCCTTCCCTGGCTTCCCTTAGCATGGGATCCTGTCCCCTCTTTCTGGCTCTGTCTGTCACTAACACGCATGCTCTGTTATCTCTCCTCGTCTGCCCGCTCTCCCTCTCTTGTCCTGGCTCCTTTCTTGCCCTCTGCCCCTGCCTGGGTACCTTTCCCTCTCCCCTCCCTTTTTCCCTCTTGGCAATCTCTGGACCCAGCCAAACAGAAGCAGAAGTCGGTGAGTATCACAGCTTTCTGTGTCCCCCTCCTTGGCCCCTGGGATGAGCTGGGGGGGGCCTTCTAACACCCATTCCTGTATCTGCCTCCCATTTCCCCCACTCTTCCCGGTTCTCCCTGGCCATCCCTCCCTACCCTTACTCTAAATCACCATATCTGGGCTCTGGGATCAGGGGGGGAGAGGATGCATGGAGGAGTCTGGAGGCTGGGGAGAAGGGCTAATGCCATCTCCACTGTGGCATTTCCCCTTCCTGCTTCCCCCCTCCAGACAGAGCATGTGCCCCCCTATGACGTGGTGCCTTCCATGAGGCCCATCATCCTGGTGGGACCGTCGCTCAAGGGCTATGAGGTAGGAGCCCCCATAGGGGAATGGTCCCAGAGGGGCCCAGACCTCCAGAGATACTTCATTAAAAGGTTTCCAGACTCTAGAGAGACTCCCCAGAAAGACCTTGGTCCCTAGTGTATCCATCACAAAGGGCTACAAATCTTCAGAGAGACTTTCTAGATCCTAACCCTTAGGAAGACCCACCCAGAGGGGCCCATCCCCCAAAGAAAACCTATAGAAGACCAGGTTCCAGGCTCCTGAGTTACCTCTGGAAGGACCAATGGAATCAGAGACCCCCTTAGAAGCCCCTCAGACCAAATGGATTCAAGACCCATTCAGTCCAAGAATTTAAGAAGTGGAATATAAGGATGCAAATGCCCACACTTATCCTTCCTGAGTGCCTGACTTTTCTGTCTGCTCCAACCTCCAATCCCAGGTTACAGACATGATGCAGAAAGCTTTGTTTGACTTCTTGAAGCATCGGTTTGATGGCAGGTAAGAATCTCCCTGGGAGCTGGCTTCCCTCACCCACTGTCGCTCTCAGGATAAGGAACAAGGTGACTCTTGCCTGGATCTTAGGGAGAGGGGAGGGCATCCTGACCCAGCCTGACACCAGGTTCCCTTGTCCTCTCTCCCAGGATTTCCATCACTCGTGTGACAGCAGATATTTCTCTGGCTAAGCGCTCAGTCCTCAACAACCCTAGCAAGCACATCATCATTGAGCGCTCTAACACACGCTCCAGCCTGGGTGAGAAGGCCACCCCTCATCTCTTTAACCTTCCAACCTCTAGGCCAGATGTGTGAGGGATGGGAGATGGCAGGTGGAGCCTTCTCTAGGAATGCTTCACCTGCTCATTGCCTCCTATGGGAATCCTCTTATGTTCCCCCTTCCATGACTCCCACTCCCCAGCTGAGGTGCAGAGTGAGATTGAGCGAATCTTTGAGCTGGCTCGGACCCTTCAGTTAGTGGCGCTGGATGCTGACACCATCAACCACCCGGCCCAGCTCTCCAAGACCTCGCTGGCTCCCATTATTGTTTACATCAAGATCACCTCTCCCAAGGTGAGTGTGGGAGCTTGGCCTGATAGGGAGCAACACATTTTAAAAGGAGTATTCTGGAGTTGAGCAGCCTGGATTGAAATCCAAGCTCCCCTGCTTACTAGTTGTGTGACTTAATCTCCCTGGGCCAAAATTTCCTTCTTGGAAAAACTCCACCATGTGGATGTTAGGAATTGATAGTATTTAACAAAAGGTCTGGTACGTAAAAAGAGAGAGAGAATGACCAAGTATGAGTGGGTGGGTTTGGGTGAAGTGCTAGATGTTTTTGAATGTTGCTATAATTGGTATTATTTGGAGCATCCGTACTCCCACCCTCCTTATCCTACCAACAAAGGAGGACACCCACCCCAAAAGAAAGGTCAGGTACAAAGTACCTCATTATGAATTAGCTGCTAATACATTGTTGTTGTGTACCATTGACACAGAACTAACCCATAGCTGGCCCTCCAGCAGGTTCTCAGAGGCAGTTGATCATACGGGAGATTGCCTGTCCTTCTCCTGCAGAACAGCTGCTGGATTTGAACTGTGTGTTGTCAGGATTGCAGCACAGCTTCTTACCACAAGGCTACCAGAACTCCCTACTAATACATTACCATTATCAATATTATTATTAGGCTTGCTCAGGTCAGTTTCTTGTCTCTAATCTAGTTGATTAGGTAGGGGAACTCTAGTGACCTAGTGGATAAGAAGTTAATTTGCCAACCCACAGGCAGGTAGTTCAAATCCATCAGCTGCTCTATGGGGGAAATATGGACATTTTTCTTCCTATGCAGTTTACAGTCTCTGACCTACTGGAGGGTCAGCTGTGCATTAACACCAACTTGTTGGCAATGAGAAAGAGAATTTGATTGACCTCTGGTTCCTATTCCAAAAAATGGAGAGAATTCTGTGCTTTTTATCCCAGTGTTATTTAGCTGGTTGGCAGTTGGGAGGTCTTTTCTGTCCTCTGATTTCAGCACTTTTTACTACATTGGACCTTGACAGAGAAGAACCAGTAGGAAGACTATTACTTCTCTATCATATTGCAGCTCCATTGACTTTCCCTCCTAGATGATAGTGGGGATTTGAGTAATGTGGAGGGAGCATTTAAAGTCTGAAGACAGCATGGTGTTCAAATCATAACTCTGTTTTGATGAACTTGGAACCTTGGGAGAATTATTTCACCTCTGTGAGCCTCTATTTCTTTACTTATGAAATGCAGATTATCCAACCAAGTAGAAGGATGAACTCCATAGAGAGATCTTCTTTCAACTTTAGGTTCTATGGAATGAAGGATGTACAGTGGAATTTTAGCTGCAAAAAACTGAAACCATATCATTAGTAACAGCAAGATTATGTGATCTCTTTACATAGTAGGTGATACCAATATCCAGTGGAAGACTAAAATGGACTCCCATGACGTATTGTGAATGAATACATCAAATTACAGGGCAGCATAATTATGTATAATTAGACACATACAATGTGTGTGTTTATGGCAGGATGTTCATCAAAATAGTAAAAGTTGCCATTTATAGAAAACAAACAAAAAATGAGGACTACCCGAGGCCCTAGGGAGCTCTGATGGCACAGCCTGTAGAGAACCTTATCCCCAGCAGCTCTGTGGGTGAAAGATGGGCCCTCTCTTCTCCTGTGATGTACAGCATCAGAAACTCACTGATGGGTCAGCTGTGAGTGGGAACTGAGTCAAAAGCAGAGTGGTTTTGTTTTGTTTTTTCCTAAATGAAATTTTTATTTTATACTGGTTTGCTTACAAAGTTTGTATACATTGCTTTTCACACCACATCTTTCCCATTTCCTTTCCCTTTCTGTTGACCTGCCAAATTGTGCGACCCTGTGATCACCTGCCCCCCCCCACACCTCTCACCCAGCTTCACCTCTCTGCTCCTACCCTCCCCTCTTGGATCCTCTTACACGTTTTACTAGTTATCTATTTCTACAATAATGGTCTTATACAGTATTTGTCCTTATGGGACTGAGTTAGTTCACTTAGCATAATGTTCTCCAGTCCCTCCCAAGTTATGTAGTGATTTTCAAAATCATTGTTCCTACATACTGCATAGTATTCCATCAGGTGAATGTACCACAGTTTCTCAAGCCATTTGATTGTGGTTGGACATTTGGGCTATTTCCATGTTCTTGCAACGGTGAATAATGCCACTATGAACTTGGGTGCACAAATCTCCATGTCTCAATTCTAATTTTCTTGGGCTGTATTCCAAGCAGTGGAATAGCTGGGTCATACAGAATTTCTGTGTTCAGCTTTTTGAGAAAACACCAAACTGCCTTCCAGAGTGGTACCATTTTAAAATTCCACCAACAGTGTATAAAAGCTCCTATCTCTCCACATCCTCTCCAACATTTATTACTTGCTGTCCTGTTAAATTTTGCTACTACTTCTGGGGTGAGATGGTATCTCATTGTGGTTTTGATTTGCATCTCTCTTATTGGCAGTGATTCTGGACATGTCTTCATGTGTCTATTGGCCATCCAAATATCTTCCTCTGTGAAAAGTCTTTTCATGTCTTTTGCCCATTTTGTAATTGGGTTAAATAAAGTGTTGTGTTTTACTTGAGACTCAAGTCCCTCCCTGGTGTTTTTGTTGAAAGGATTAGAGGTAGGTGATGTAAAGAGCCCAGTATACTTCCTGATTCATGAGACAGCCAATGGTGGAAACTGCTGCCATTCCAGGATAGCATCCTTTGAGCTGAGCACCTGGACCGATTACTTCACCTTTTTGAGCCTTGAGTTTCTAATGAGTATAAAGAAGAATTTAAGTGTTTCTTTTTTTTTAATTATTTTATTATTTTTTGTGCATGTACCGTCAAATAAGATCTGACTGGTACAAGAGGAAATTGTCCCTTCTTCTCCGGCAGAGCATCTGGTGGACTCGAACTGTGTACCTGTGGGATTGCAGTACAGCTTCTTGCCATTAGGCCACCAGAACTCCCCTGAATTTAAGTGTTTCTTGAGGGGAACCAAATAATGTAATGGATGTTAAAACACTTTGTGAATGAGAATAGTGAGTAATGGATGCTTCTATTTTCCCCTTCCATAGAGGACTGAAGATAAGGGTTTGGGCTCTGGAGCCAGATTGCTGGGTTTATATCCCAGTACTGCTGCTTACTAGTTCTATGTTTTTTTCGGACAATTACCTAACTTCTCTATGTTTCCGTTTCCTCATCTGTAAAATAAAGATAGTAATCTTCAAAGAGTTGTTATGAAGATTAAATAAATTAATTAATTATGCTAAATTCCTGGAACCTACTAACGATCCCTGGTGGTATAAGTGCATTGCTTGCTGGGCTGCTGAGCTGGCTCAAATCCACCAGTGGCTTGTCAAGGTAAAGATGATAAGCATTTGGTTTTCATTAAGATTTATAACCTTGGAAAGCAGATGGAGGGGCAACATAAGTGAAAATTGACTTGATTATGGTAGATTGTTTGGTTTTGTTTCTTTGTTTTTGCTAAGCATCTATTTTTTATATTTTTAAATTTGAAGTGTCTCATGTACAGAAGAATTAAAGAAAGGTATAACAAACTCTGTTCTTTGATGACCATTTGTTCAGATTCATTTTTTTGCTTCTAAATTTTACTTGTTGCTGAGAATAAACAGCAAACTCTACACCAGTCAGCTCTTTATACATATACAGTCACCTCATTGCCAGTTCAGAGCTGCCTCTTCAGTAGGTCTTCAGGGACTGTAAATTGCATGGGAAATTTCCCATCTTTCTCCTCTAGAGCAGCTGTTGGTTTTAAACAGCCTGCCTTTTGATTGGCAGTACATCTCCTTACCTACTAAGGCCACAAGAGCTCCTCTGAAGTATAATCATTTTCTCAGGACAATGGTTTTAGGTATTCCTCCAACCTTCATGGCTCCAAGAAGCCTGGAATCTATGAATATTTGAAATTCTGCTTTATCCCCTTTTTATTATGATTAATCTATGGATTAAAAAATATTCTATGGAATCTTTGACCAGAATGTTTGGTTATGGTAGCCAGGCACCATCCAGTTATTTTGGTCTCATGGCAAAGGAGATATTCATGAAGTATTTAGCTACCCTTTTCATATCCTGTTCCTAATGACTACTACTTTGTTCCAGGTAAATAGAGATCAAATATGCCTTGGATAGCTTATTACAAGCTTTTAAGACCCTAGGCACCATTCAGTGAACTAACAGGTAGAACAAAACACTAAATATGCGATTAGGCCAATTAACTGGGATGTCCCATGAAACCATGACCCAGGGAACCCAATCCCCTGTGGTATTAGGTTATATACAAGTAGCCTTATGAGTTACTTTGGTTTTTGTTGTAAATAATCACACAGCATTAGCCAATTCAATTTTACAAGTGTACAAAATGTTGACAGCAATTACAGTAATCTGCTGTGCATTCCCACCCTTAATCAGTGCAATTTTTCCAGCGTTGTTAACTCCCATCCTTCCTCTCTCTTACCTCCCAACCCTGGTAGCCACTAATAAACTTTGGTCTGCATACATTTTTCTTTTCTTGTCTTTTCACATTAATGAGATCATAAAATATTTGTCCTTTTTAGCTTATTTCACTCAGCATAATGTCTTCAAGCTCCAGCTGTTGTTAGATGCCATTGAATCAGGTCTCACCCATAATTGATTCTTCAGAGGATTTTCAGAGGCTGTAAATTATATGGGAGGAGATTGTCAATCTTTCTTTCCTATAGCAGCTGGTGAATTCAAACTGCATGCCTTTGGGCTGGCAGCACAGCTCCTTGCCCACGAGGCCACCAGAGCTCCCTAGACACTCTGTACCAAGTATCAGACTTTCATTTCTAAAAAATACTCCCAACAATCCCAAACCCTTCAAGTAGAGTTGTGTCATTTGCGTAACAGGTAGTTGATGAGTTTTCCCCTCACATCCTTATGCCATATTCTTCATATCATTCAGTTTTGATGATCATATAGTTCTTTTCCTTTGCCCTGTTGATGTGATCATTTATCTTGACTGATTCTCTAATATTGAGCTATTCTTGCTTTCCTGAATAAACCCCAGTTAGTCATGGTGTATGACTCTTCTGTGCTGTTAGATCTTGTCTGGTTTTTGCTGTGAGCTTTTGTATCTATATCCATAAGCAATATTGTCCTCTAGTTTTCTTTTCTTATAATGTCTTTGATTTGAGTATCAGGGGTTTGTTTATGCCATAGAATGAATTGAGGAATATTCCTTCTTTCTCTAGCTTTTAGAAAAGTTTGTCAGTTGCTCTCTGAATGTTTGGTAGAATTCCCTAGTGAAGCCATCTCATCTACATGTTGGTTTTGTTTGTTCGGTTGGTTGGTTTTTTTAATCCCTGATTGAATTTTCAGTTGTTATGAGTTTGTTGAGACTCAGCAAGTCTGTATCTCCTCTTGAGTCAGTTTGAACAGATTGTGTGCTTTTAAGAATTTTAATCAATTTCATCTAGGTTCTCCAGTTTGTTACTGTAGAGTTGTTCATAATATTCTATCATAATTCTCTTTATTGGATCAGTTGCAGTGTTTCCTCTTTCATTTTGTTTTTATTTGCTTCTTTCAGTAGGAATATCTCCAAAGTGATGTGTTTCCTTACTATGTTGTGTTCATGATAACTCTGGTCAATCAGCTTGTTGTAACACTGATGATAACTTGGCTCACTTATTAATGATACTTTACATGCTAGCCATTATTGTTCTATTATTGGATAAGCACATTAATAGTATCCACTTGACAGAATTATTGTCTGAATTAAATTAATTGATCATGTAAAATACATAGAAGAGGGCAGATGTTAACATGTGGGGGAAATGAAGCCTGTAAACAAGGTTAGAAGACCTTCAGGAGAATAACTGCCCTTCATGTGGACCATGCTCCCTCTAAAGGAGAACCTCCCAGGACAAACTGGTGTGAGACCCAGAATAGAGTCTGCAGATTTCTTAAGGTAGACCCAGCACTGAAGAGATCAGCTCTGCAGTGGGGACTGGGGATGAGAGTCATCCAGTGTCCACCATCCACCAGGCCACATGGTGACTGTCCTAACTCTGACCAAGTACTATCTCTCTGACTTGATAACTTTGTTTTCTCTTCTTTTTCTTTCCCCCAAACCAGGTACTCCAGAGGCTCATCAAGTCCCGAGGGAAGTCTCAGTCCAGACACCTCAATGTCCAAATAGCAGCCTCGGAGAAGCTGGCTCAATGCCCTCCTGTGAGTTTTCAGACCCAGGGAAAGGTTGGCGGGAGTGGACATTTGAGTTCTCCTGGTTTCCTCTAACCAGCATGGGAGAGACAAAATGACCAGAAACATCTGTGTCAGGCCCACAGGTGCAAACCGGGCCTTGGGAAAAGAAGTCTTGATGGGGAGTCAGAGACTGACTTCATGCTCCAGAGCATTGTTTCTCAGTGGCAGTCAGACCACTCTCCAAGCTTTATTTCTAGAATGAGAGAGTTGGACTGAGTGCAAAGACTTCTTGTAGTCCTGCCAGTCTATAGATGTGAGAGCCCTCCTTCCCTTTCTGCAAATCTAGAGGCCTCTTTATAACCTTGTCCTTCAACCCCTTGGCTCTACCCACTGCACCCAGGCCACACCCCCAACTCCCTGGTCACACCCTGGCTCATCCCAGCCCCGCCCCTAACCCCACCTCCACAGGAAATGTTTGACATCATCCTGGACGAGAACCAATTAGAGGATGCCTGCGAGCACTTGGCCGAGTATTTGGAAGCCTATTGGAAGGCCACACACCCACCCAGCAGCACTCCGCCCAATCCGCTGCTGAACCGCACCATGGCAACCGCAGCCCTGGCGGCCAGCCCTGCCCCTGTCTCCAACCTCCAGGTACAGGTGCTCACTTCGCTCAGGAGAAATCTCAGCTTCTGGGGCGGGCTGGAGGCGTCGCAGCGGGGCGGCGGCGCGGTGCCCCAGCAGCAGGAGCACGCCATGTAGTGAGTGCCCCACCGGCCCTCTTTGCCACCCAGGGCTTGGAACTGGAGTGCAGGGAACGTGGGGCAAGGAAGGGAAGAGTTTTATTTTGTAAAAAACGTGGTGAGCAGCAGTTTCTGGTGTCTGTGGTTTTTGATGGGACTGGGGTTAGCTGATGGTGCCTCCCTGGGCTGGGTTCTTTGGGGCTACATCACCTCTTCTGTCTTGGGGTCTTGTAGATATGAATCCTGGTCAAGGACATTATAACACAAGTGTTTAGGAAGAAACCGTGAGGAAGACTGATATACATGGTTGCTGGAGTCCAGAGCCGTTTTGGCCCCCCCAGTCAAAAGTAACCACAGAGTTGAGGTCCTCAGGCCTACGGAAACCCACAGACTAGGGGAACCTGTAGAGATTAGCTCTTCCCCAGAGCCCTGACCCGAGAGGGAGCCCAGGATGTAGCATCTTCTATGAACTGATGCTGTATCTTTCACCCTTCTCCCAGTTAAACAGATTCTAGGTCTTGTGGGTGCCCCATGTTGCCTGCTCCTTCCTCCTATGGGAGTGACAACTCATTAAGCAAATGCTTCTAGGTTAGAGCCAGGAGCACTCCTGAAATTATTCTAGACCATTGATCTTCAGATTTGCTTCATCTACAGAACTTTTTGTTCACTGAGTCTTAGGTGGCATCCTCACTCTTCTCAGAGGGAACAAGTGACTTGGGTTCCCTTTCCCCTCACGGGAGGCTCTGATGTGCTTCTGTTCTCTCTGCCCTTGCCCTACTGGGTCTCAGGCTTCCAGGAGACAGTTTGGAAACTGCTGTTCTGGCCTAACCCACACCCATACCACCACTGAGAAACTGAGTCCTCAAGAGGGAAATTATTTGCTCAGGGCCTGATAGCTTATAAGTCGCAGGAACAGGACTCTCAACTCCCTGCCTATGGCTCTTTGTACCTCACACAGCAGCCTCCACGGTGGTGGTGAACATTTGGTCACTTTTACATGGAGTTTGGTGATGAGAGCTTTGGAATGCCTACTCCCATTGTCTCCAGTTTGGATAGAGACCCATTAGCCTTTACCAGCTACTGCTTTGATGAGTCCTGAGTGAAGGCAGGGAAGGGATTTACCTTGGAGGCTGCTGTCTGACTAGGCAGTCTCAGGAGTGGGATTCTGAAGATCTGTGATTGGAGTCTGGCAGTGGGCTGAACGAGCTTGAGTTTGGCCTGAAACTCCCCTGTTAACAGACTGGAATATTGGAGTCAGTGACTAACCCAATCTTCCACTAACAAGTGGCAGTATGAAGGAGCTGTTAATGGTGATTAACCCCAAGACAACATTAATGGCTTGTATCAAGGAAGTGGTGACTAACGTTTACAGGCTCTGCACCATGGTTACCATGAGAGTTCACATTTCCTCAAGCTTTGACAAGATTGAGCACCCCTTGTCCCAGTAGAGGAGCAAATAGAGCCATCTGCCCAGCTACCCATCCCCTAGACCCGTGCCATCCTCGTTCAGCCGGGCTGAGTGTCTTGGTGTTGTCACTAACCTGCCTTGCTTTGTGTTTCTCTCACCCCTGCCTGATCTGCATGGTGTGTGCCATCTGCCTGCTAACCAGGGACCCTACCTTGCTTCCGGGGACCAGACGCTGGAACGGGCCACCGGGGAGCACGTCAGCGTGCACGAGTACCCGGGGGAGCTGGGCCAGCCCCCAGGCCTTTACCCCAGCAGCCACCCACCAGGCCGGGTGGGCACCCTGCGGGCACTATCCCGCCAGGACACGTTTGATGCTGATACCCCCGGCAGCCGAAACTCTGCCTACACGGAGCTGGGAGACTCGTGTGTGGACATGGAGACTGACCCCTCAGAGGGGCCAGGGCTCGGAGATCCTGCAGGGGGAAGTACCCCACCAGCCCGGCAGGGCTCTTGGGAGGATGAGGAAGAAGAATATGAGGAAGAGCTGACTGACAACCGGAATCGGGGCCGGAATAAGGCCCGCTACTGTGCTGAAAGTGGGGGTCCTGTTCTGGGGCGCAATAAGAATGAGTTGGAGGGCTGGGGGCGAGGTGTCTACATCCGTTGAGTGGCAGAGGCAACAGGATTGGCTCTGAGTCCTGGGGAGGGGAGGGACAGTGGGGTCACTATCTTCGATACACCTTGTCTCCAGGCAATCCTGACTCCCTCCTTTCAGATGCCTTTGCTCAATGTTTGGGGTTTCTATGGTGGCATCATCCCAGCTTTTGGGAGGCCCTTAAGCCCCAGCTATAGGCTTTTTATCTGCTGTGGGTGAATAGGGGGATACCTACCTTTCTGCAGTGTCCTCTTTCCCCCTCCTCAGGGGACTGTCCCCTCTCCCTCCCAGAGAAAAGGTGCACTTCCTTAACTCTTTCTACTTGGGACTCTTAAGTGAGGATCCTAAATGAGATGGCCCTTTCTTTTCCTGGAAAGAGAGGCCACAGCATCTTTCCCATGAGGCCTCTCAAACCCCAAATCCAGGCTCCCTTAACCCTGACCATCTCTTCTCTCCAGCTTCCCTGCAGCATTGTCTGGTAGGTAAAGGCTAGGGTGCTCTTGTGTGGGGAGGGTCTGAGTGCAAACTGGCCAGCATCAGTTCTCTGGTGCCCACTCTCTTCCCATGGCCATGGTGATGTCCAGTGCCTAGAAACTCGAGCAGTGGGCAGTGTAAGATGCTGCTACCCACCCCACCACCTCCATGCGTCCACCTTTACCTGCCCCAGGAATGAGCTTTGCCTATGACATCCCCTGCTTGCTGCCATCAAAAGAGGGGCCCTCCGTGTCAGAGCTTTCCCCCTTCCCTGCGCCACTTGAGTGTGGAGCCCGTGGAACACTCTGGCCTGCCTCTTTGAAACCAAAAAAAAAATCTTTCACCCTCACCCTTGAAACCCCAGGGGAGAGGCCCTGAGGGTTGGCGCCCAAGGGGTGATCACCATCCCAGGGGTTGCCTAAGGACCTTGGATCTCTCCTGGAGGGTTTGGCTGCTGCTGCTGTTCTGTATTTGCCTCCTGTGAACCTGTCTTTTACCTGTATCTGCCCCCCCCCCAAGGAGAGGCCTTGATACCCCTTTCCCCTGAGGTATCCCTCTGCCTCAGTATCTCTGTAGCCCAGCATCCCTGCCCCTCCCCAGCATCCTAGCTGGGCCAGAGAGAGCCGATTGTGCCAACGAGGACTGGGCCATGCCCGGCTGCCCACCTCAGGGATGGGCATCTCATGCCTGTCTCGCCACCTCCTGTGCCAATGTTGTTCCACCCCTCCCCCTGGGTGGTAGGGTGCAGCTTCCATTCATTGGTTAGAAGACACCACTGCCCAACCTTTCCCCCTCCCAGTCTTGTGTCCTGTGCTCCTATCTGTCTGTCTGTTTGTCTGTATCCCCCTAGGAGAAGTATTTTGCCACATATAAAACCGCCGTCCTGTCTTCGTGGCTGTTTCCAGAGCCTGCTTCTTTGTTATCGTCACGTCGTTGCCAACCTAGGCATGTGGGAGCCACTGGCACACAGTGGGAGCAAAGGGGTGGGTGATAGGAACAAGCTCAAAAGGAGAAGTGGATTCTTTTGTGGCCTTTGGTGCATCCCATTCAAGTCCAACAACAGTTGCTTGGTCAATCTCAGCTTTCATTCTTCCCCAGTACCCCACCTTGCCCATCTCCCCATAAGTGGGACCAGAGGAGGTGGAAGCTGGGGCAGAGAAGAATCCCTGACACAGTCTTAAGGGAACATGCTTGGTTTTGCCCTCAGCTGCTCCACTTCAGGAAAGGCAGGGTCTCAACTCCTACTGGCTTCCTGTCCACTGGACCAGTGCCCTTAGGACTACCCCCACCAAGGCCCAACCTCTGACAACCACCTTTGGGGGAAGAGAGCAGAAAAAATGGAGACACTCTCCCTAGACTAGATATGAGGGAAAAAAAGAACTTTCTTTAATGAGAAGAAAGCAGATGACTCTTCCTGTTTCTGCCATCACATCACCAGCTGGCAGGATGTGGATTCCCACCAGCTGTTACTGCAGTCACCCGTATCCTGCCTCATGTAGCACTGACCAGTGATTTCTCCACTCTACTAGTGGTTATGGGACAGAGACCCTGAAGGAGCGGTCTCTTGAGCCCTTTACCTTAATGCTCTTGCCCAGGTGGGAGGAGAGGAGAGAGGGGTAAGAGAGGAGCAGCAGATACCTTGAGGGCCTGAAGATGAAGGGTTAGCAGATCAAAGAGATGGACTAATTGGTCAACTGGCTGATCCAACATTGCAGAGAAGTTGATAGCAAAGCCAGTGCTGCTGGAATTAAAATCCAATCTCATCTCTACTTTCCAAAGTATTTTTTTTTCTCACTGCCTTTCAGTGAAATCAGTTATTCATTGATAAAAATCCAAAACATTTACTGATCATTTCTGTGTACCAGGCATATGTTGAGATGGAAGCCACAGATAAATGCCATTCACTTCATTGAACTGTCAGATGTGGAAAACACTGGGCATTCTGATACCCTGAAAGACTTGGGGAGGCTTACTGGAGGAGGTGAGGTTTGGTGGAAGCCAGAAGGATGGCAAATCTGCAGCAAAAGACCTCTTTAAAATGCAGCATTTTTCTTTGAAGCCTAAGGAGTGCCAGAACCAAGGTACTTTCAATCACATGCTAATGCAAAGACTAGACAAAGAATAAGGACGACCAAGGAAAAATCGATGCCAGGAAATTAAAAGGTGCATTGCCATGGAAAAGTCTGCTGTTAGGGACCTCTCCAAAGTACTGAAGAGCAATGGTTTCTCTCTGGAGACTAAGGTGTGTCTGATACAGGCCATGGTCTTTGCAATCACTTGTTATGCATCAGAGAGTTGGACAATGACCAAGGAGGATAGAAGGAGAATTGATGCCTTTGAGCTGTGGTGCTGGAGAAGAGTATTGAGAGTACCATGGACTGCTAGGAAAACAGATTCATCCTGGAAAGGGTTAAACCGGGTGGCTCCTTGGAGGCAAGGATTCTGAGGCTCTGTCTAACATACTTTGGACATGTTGTAAGGAGAGACCGGTCCTTGGAGAAGGACATCATGCTTGGGAGGATGGAGAGACAGCGCAGGAGGGGAAGGCCCTCAATGAGCTGGACTGATTCAGTGACTGGGGTAATCGGGATGGGAGTGTCAGAGACAAGTGGCACAGGACAGAGCAGAGTTTAGGGCTGTTGTACATAGGGTCGCTATGAGTCACAAGTGACTCGATGGCACATAACAACAACAACAACAGAATTACAGTGTTGGTGAAGAATATGAAATATGCCAAGACTGCAAGAAGGAACAGATCAGACTTGTAAGAATAGCCTGAATGCTCCTTAGAAGTGAGAATGGCAAGACTTGGTTTCACGTACTCTGGACATTATCAGGAGGCACTGATTCCTGGAAAAGGACATGGAATTTGGTAGAGGGTCAGAGAAAAAGAGAAAGACCCTCAAAGAGATGGACTGACACAGACGCTGCAAAAATGGGCTCAGATATGGCAATGGCTATGAGGATGGGGCATAACCAGGTAGAGCTTTGTTCTATTGTTGGGAGTATAGATTGGAAGACCCAGCCTAGAAATAAATGCAGCACACTGGGTGAGAAATGAGGATTTGCACGGGGCTGCAGCATTAGCATGGAAATGAAGACAGTGACTGCAGAGACCCAACAATTGGAGGTGTCCAGTGACACAGATGTGATGGTCTTCCCAGATAAGAAATAGGTGAAAAAAAAACCCCACCAAACCACAAACCAGGATAAGGAGTTTTTAAGAATGCAAAGGGTGCAGAGGTGTCTGACTTCCACTGACTACACAAAGGTTCTCCATTAACATCAATAGTATAATACTGATGTCCATGAAGTCACACATGCCCTCGCTCCACACTCCAGACCCCTTCCTCTAGCAAGTCAAAGACCAGCCATTCCTCTCATGACAGACATTATTTCTTTACTGGATTCTAGAATTTGTTGCAATGATCACACAGAATTCAGACAATATTGACAGTTACGGGATTAGGGAAGAAGGTTAGGTTTGGGAACACACTGGAGACAGTTCTTCAGTCAGGATGCCCTCCTCTTTATTGAACCTCTGCTCTAGCTCAGGTAGGACAGCAAAACCGACCAATCTCCACATTAGCATTCTACATGCCTTATTTGCATGGTCCCACCACAAAGGTGCCATTTATCTCATTTGCATTATTAGCAATCTACCCAATTCCCAAAACCCAGCCATATGGTGAGAGTTACAAAGATCATGGCTTAGAATAGTTACAAGTAATTCACTGCACCTATGGAACATGTAAGAGATGACACACAGAAGACAGCAGGGTACGTGATCTGGAGCTCCCTAGAAATGTTTGAGTAGGAGCCTACTTCAAATCAAGGGCAGAGATTATGAAATCCAATTTACATATAAAGCTCAGGGAGTTTAAGTTACTTACCTACACAGCTGCAGAGCAAGAACTTGAGCACAGACTTACAGTTTAAGTTTTGTGTTACCTGTACCCCTAAGTCTAGCGCTAACTCCTCTACCCAGGACACCCCAGATACTGTGAGGGATGGTATCGAAGAGAAAGAAACAAGGGTTTGAATCTGTTTCTGTGTCCCATATACCACCTGCTTGAAACGGCCTTTGCCCAGTTTGCCAAAGCAGGAGCATTTCTAGCTGGCTCAGAAATTGAGAGATGGGGAGAAAGAGGTTCTTGTTTCTTGGTAACCACAGCCCTTAACTGGCTGTGACTGCATAATCAGCACTTTGGTTGCTGTCAACAAGTGAAGATTTCAATAGCCATGAGGCAGGCTGGGGCCAGGCTCACAGGGGCTGATACCACAGACACCTCAGGGACCTCTTCCTGGGCGGGCTCTGGTAGGGACCAAGGTGGCTTGGACACCTCCCCCTGGTGCTCTTCACCTTCATCTCTGCTTAGCTGTCACTTCTTCCATCAGGCTTCTTGCAGTAGATTTTGTCCAGAGTGAGCTAAGGTGGGGAAGGCCTCAGGTCTTAGATGTGACCAGTGGCCCCCAGTGTTCTAAAATGAACTGAGTTGGGACCACCATGGCTCTGGGGGGAGAGAGAGATGTCCTAGTCTGATGCCCTGGAGAAAAGTCTTACCTAAGATAATCACTTCCTTGGAGAAGCTAGCACTGGCTTCTTTCTAAATTAGGGTGTCTGCCTGTCTACCTACGGCCTCTGAGGGTTTTGAGGTGGTTTTTTAAAATTTTTTTTCTTCTCCTCTGAGAGTTTTTGTTCATTTAATTTGGTTTGGTTTTCCCTCCTTAGCCCATGCTGCCTCTGAAATATATATTTGTGTATTAGTCTCGTCCAATAGACTGTAAGCTCCCTGAAGGCTCCAATTTCTTGATTCCTGAGATGCATTTGCCAAATGAATGAATAAATAAATGCATCCCTTGAGCTAGGCTCTGGGCCTCCTGGGGATGGGGTAGGAATAGTTTACACAATGTGCCCTTTACTAACAAAGTGCCACTTTCAATTCTGCATTTAGGCATGGGGGAGGGCAGGATGTGCTAAGTTTCTTTCCCCCAGGAAACAGATGGTTAAAATGTTTGAAAAAGTATCACAGCTTCTCTGGCACCCTCTGCACCCTGACTTCACGCCAACCACACACAGCCTTGCTCCTTCTATCCTGGGATGGAAACAGAATCAACTCAATTGGATGCTGGAGGGTCACTATTCTAAATGTCGATGCCAAGCTGGGGGGGATAAAAATTCTATTTGTGGCACAGTATTTTCCCTCTTTTCCCCCCAAACTTCCCAGCCTTCCTTACACCTCTTAAATATGTACTCATGTGTTAAAAAAAAAAACCAACCAAAAACCAACCCCCCCCCCCAACAAAAAAACCAAAAGCAAAACACCAACATACTGCAAACACAATTTTCTGGGCTATAGTTTAATTCATTTTACTGTCGTTCAATAGCAGTCAATCCCAACTATGTCCCAGGCCCCAGACTTGGCTTAGGAGAGGGCTGTGCAGACGAACAAGACATGAATCCTGCTCTCTGGGTCTCACACTTGAATGGGAGCAATAAATATGGCAGCTGACAAACCCAGTGAACAGAGAAGGCCCATTGGACTGGAGAACCATGCCAGGGCTTAGAAAGTAGGTAGCATTTATGACAGGTGACCAAAGGATCTCAAGGATTCTTCTGGATGAGAAAATGGTGAGAGGCATGTCAGATGGAGGAGGCAGAAGCCAAGGAAGGCACAGTCAGAAGGAGCCAGGCATGTGCAGGCCAGGATCCACTGGTCATCCCACTAGGGGAGAGCATGGGGTGATAATCTGGGAGATCAAACCAGCAAGGAGAGGTTGGGGCTGTTTGTGAAGGCTGCTGAATGTCAGGTTAGGAGACTGATCTGAAGCCAGTCGACAATGGGGAGCCGTTGAAGGTTTATGAGCTGGGGAGTGAAGGACTCTGAGCTGTGGTTTAGGAAGGTTAATGGGGCTATGAGGAGAATGCCCTGTGACGTGGTTGTTAGCTTAGTGGAGGGGAACAATAACAGGGCTGAAGGAGGCCAGTGGCAGGGGAGTGGAAAGAGCCAGCTCTCCTCTTTGCAGACTGGTTTCCTTCCAACCACCCCCTCAATCTGAAGTTGCTTGTCATCCCCACTTCCCTTTTTTGTTTTCTGTTTACTCAAAGAAGGAATTTCACAAATAACAACACAATCTCCCTCCTGTAGCCTGGCTTCCTGGTTCACTCCCTCTCCCCAGGTTCTCCTCTGCTGGGTCTTAGCATCTGGAGACCCCTCTGCAGGGAACCAGGGCAGGATTTCTCTTCTTCCTCCATTCCTATCTTTAGAAGCCCATCCTCAGGGATCAGAGAGCTGCACCTGCGCAGTCAGTGAAGCAGAGACACAGCACTGTCTTCTCATCAGTCGGTTGCCTGGCATCAGGGGACCTGTGAAGACAGGGGCCCCCTGCCCTCTCCCCAGGGAACTCTCTGTGCATCAGCCCACAAGACCCACACTAATGAAACAACCAGAGAACTGCTGAGGGCTGGAGCATTCCACTAGCTCAGAGAGCTTCCAGCGCAAGAAGATTGGCAGCTTTCCCTCAGTTTATGGCCTTGATGTGACACCTGGAGGAGGAAGAACTGGGAGCTTGTTGTGGGTTTCTTAACTAGTGCTGCTATAACAGAAAAACAAGTGGATCGTTTTAATAAACAGATACTTATTATCTTATCGTTTAGGAGACTGAAAGCCTGAATTAAGAGTGGCAGCTCTTGGGGAAGGCCTGTCTCCTTTCAACAACCGTGGCCTTGGCATCCTTTGTAGACCACCATGTGTCTTGACTTTAATGTTCCCTGGGTCTAGGAGGTTCTCAGGCAGAAACTCCAAATCTAAAGGACAAGCTTTGCTCCCAGCCTTTCTTTCTTGCTGGTACTGAAATCCCTCTTCTGTGCCCTATTCTCACTCCTTTTATAAGTTAAAAGGCAATGAAGGATACATCCCAAGAAAACATCCTTAATATGAGATCAAGGCATTGTATCCCCTGATCACACCAGGTCACACCAAAGGGAATGATTATGTCATTGACATAACTATCAGATCATACCATTACATAACTGCCAAACCACGGAGAATCATGAGTCAGCCAAGCTGGCTAGTATTTTGGAGGGGACACAGTTTAACACACGACACGGAGCAACTGTGCTGTCTCCCTTATTTTGTGTAGAAGTATTGCTCTGTTGTTTTCTCAGGGCCAAGAAGAGGGCAGAGGCTGGGATCCCTTTTCAGTTACGTCTCCAGGGCCATCACCGATAGGTCATCTTAAGATGACCTTAAGAGACCGGCCCCCTAGGGGATTTCCAAGCCCTGCTGGTGATGCGTGGGACCTTCGTGACCTCATAGGCCGAGTCCCTCTCCTTCTCTTCCTCAGGGGCGGAGTTCACAGCTCCCGGGGACTAACCCATGTGTCCCCCCCAGGCTACTGAGCTCTGTTTCTGTCGGTTCCAGACGCACCATGGGACAGCTAATCGCCAAGTTGATGGGTATCTTCGGGAACCAGGGTAAGGGGTGCATCCTTGTGATCGCTCTGATCTGGCTTCCTCCCGGGGTTCCCTCGAACTGAGGTCGTCGGGGAGAGCTCGCTGCGAGGCTTTGGGCTCCAAGGGTCCTGTGGGGCTGTCCTCGCGGGTTCCGCTGTCTCCTCCTTCCTATCCGCTCGTTGCTCCCGGTCAGCTGCTTTGGTGCGCGCTGCTGCTCCCGAGCCTCTTTTCTCCCACCTGAGTGCGGTGACCCACCGGTCGGAGGCCAGTTGCCTTTGTGTCCGGTTGAGACTGCGCTGAACTCTTCCAGAAGATTCTGGACCTTTCAAACATCTCTCTTTTGGAATTGTGAAGAGGTGGCTGATGGAGTAGCGCCGGCGTCTGGGGACCTGTGGCGCTGGCACTTGCCCTGGTTTTCTGGGAGGTGGAGTGAGGTGGGGATGTAGACAGTGTGCACAGAAGTTACATCCTGGGCAGAAATCTCCCATCTGACCTTGCACCTCCTCCCGCCGCCCGCAGAGCACAAGGTGATCATCGTAGGACTGGACAACGCAGGCAAGACCACCATCCTCTATCAGTTGTAAGTCTCTCCTGGGGGACAGGACAGGGCTGGGCCTCTTCGCCAGACTAACAGGTACTGGACCAATCCTGAGAACTCATTATCTGGGCTCCTAGGTTCCTCTTGATGCTGAAAGGAGTCGGGGGTGGGGGTGGGGCAGCACTGATGTGTCTTTCCGGGTCGAGTGGTCCCTCTCTGCCATTGAGGCCTTTCATGGTCTAGGCACTTCCAATTCCACTGTCCCACCGTGTTCCCAGGCCCCAGCCAAAAATGATAACAGGCCTGAGGAGTGTCAGAAGATCCTGTTCTTGTTGCCTCACTGCTGCTCTCCCTCCCCTCAGCCATATGCCCTTCCTGCCACCTATCTGCTGCCTCTTCAAATTACCCAGCTTCTCCAAACCCGACCTCAGAGCTTAGGGAGGTGAGCTTATATTAGGGTCTCTCACATGTGGCTGTTGGTGGCACCTGGTAAATACCAAGGGAGTTTCTGACCCCCTTTGCTCTGTGAAGGGGGTGAGAGCTCTCATTTTGGAAGTCCCGAGTTTTTTGGTTTTGCTTTTAACTAGAACAAATGCTCTCCTGAAGAATACATGTAAATGGTTTAAAAAAAAGAAAAAAAAAAAAAGAAATAGAGCAGTAAAGAGTATGTGTGGGGGGGAGAGTTTCTCTCTTACCCCAACTTCCAGTTTCACTTTCCAAGACTTCAAGCATTGTTGTAACTTCTTGGCAACCTTCCAGAGACATTCCTTACATATGAAGGCATGTGCCTGTGTTTTCTGCATCACTCAAAACAAAGCCTGGTCCCCAGCAGGTGCTTGGTCAACCTGGGCTCAAGTTAGATTCAGCTTTTGTTAAGAGCAGAGGGATAGGGGCTAGGCCTGTGAGTAATTGGGCAAAACTTTGAATCCCTTCGCCTTCCTCCCCAGCCTGATGAATGAAGTGGTCCATACGTCTCCCACCATCGGTAGCAACGTGGAGGAAATTGTTCTGCGAAAGACCCACTTCCTCATGTGGGACATTGGAGGACAGGAGGCTCTGCGCTCCACCTGGAACACATATTACTCTAACACTGAGGTGAGGAGCTGGAAGGACCCGGAGACCCTCAGGTGGCTGTGTGATCTTATGAGAGTCACTTATACTCTCTAAGCTCAAGTTTCTCCTCTGTGAAATGGGGGCCATCCTTATGGTCCTTGGAGTTGTTGTGCGAATGAGATGGTAATAACTTGAAAGTATCAAGTACGCAGTGCAGTACGGTGCTTGTTAAAAAGTTTAGAATATTTTCTGGCAACTTCTCCTGCTTGCTGGGAGATGCATGGGGTGGAGATGGTCCCCTTATCTTGGAAACCCTTTTCTTACCCTGGCAGCAGTAAAACACAGTAGTTTAATTCCTGGACTAAAGCACATATGAATTCAAATTCCATCACTGCCTCTCACCAGTTGTGTGGCTAAGCCTCTATTTCCTCACCTGTAATAGCACCAATTGCGCAGAGATGTGAGGAGACCCCGTGGAGTCATGGCACAGCCTCTGGCACAGTTAGAGCACAGGTCTTATGCTCCCCATGTCTGGATGGGAAAGGGAATGAAATGAGAATAGGCAGTGAGATCCTTTTTGACAATTCTATGGCGTTTTTTATCTATGCTTGACAACTGGCCTACATAAAAAGAACATATCCCTTTACCAGTCGGTGTGAATTAACTGCACCACTCTCAAAACCTGAATGCTTTCAGACCTGTGACTGGCATTCATTAAAGGAGCTTGAGGGTAGCACTGAAGGCAGGCAGGTTCTCACAGGGCATCAGCCACCACTTGGGCAGTGAGATCTTGAGACTGGCCAGTCTCTGGTTCAGGCATCAGGCAGTACGGAGGCTGATAGTGCATCACAGAATGAAGTGAATGACTCACCCGAGAAAACTCACCCCACTGATCTCTCTGTTGCCTAGTTCATCATCCTTGTGATTGACAGCACCGACCGGGATCGGCTGATGACCATGAGGGAGGAGCTGTATAAGATGCTGGCTCATGAGGTAAGCACCCAGGCTTGGAGAGAGTCCAGCGATAGTAACTGTGTGCCCCTGGGAACCTATTCAGTCTCTCTGAGCTTTATTCTTGATCCCTCAGCCACTGAGAGCCCCATCTCAGCAGCTTAAGTTGGCCTTGTTTAGCCCGAGGAGGGTCGTTACAATTGACCACAGAACTCAGAATTGCTTTTTCAAATCCTGACACTACTTATTCATCGTGAGACCCTTGCGAAGTAATTGCACCTCTCTTAGCCTCAGTTTCCTCAAGAATAAAGTGGAGAGTATCTTCCATTTTTCAGCTTCATGGGGCTGTCATTGAAATCGTGTGAACTGGTGGGGAAGTGTTACGTGAGCTATCAGTGTTACTTGGTATGGCTGATACAATGAGAGCAGAATCTCTCTCCCAGGAAGGCTGGGAAGTCAGAAAGGATGTGAGTGGTCAGTGGGAGGGAAGGCTGGCTCGGGACTGAACTCCTCAACCCCACAGGCTCTGCGAGATGCCTCGGTTCTGATCTTTGCCAACAAGCAGGATGTGAAGGGCTCCATGACCACCTTGGAGATCTCCCAATGCCTCACCCTCAGTGCCATCAAAGACCACCCGTGGCACATACAAGGCTGTTGTGCCCTGACTGGGGAAGGGTAAGTAAAGTGGATGCTTCTCCTGGACCTCTTGAATCTGTCCCAACTCATGGATGACTGACCATCAGAATCTTTTTTCTCTTTTTTTAAAATCTCCTCTTTTTTACTTACTAGTGTGAGGTTTATTAGGAAAGTAGGCTGGAGGATGGGGAGGCAAAGTGAACAGCAATACCAAGCCAGGATAACAGCAAAACATAATTTCTTAATTAGTTTAGACAGCTTCTTAGTCAATCTCAAGATACAGTCCCTCAATCTCGGCATCTTCTCCGTCAACATGGATGCAAGGGACTTCTGGTCCTGGACCCTTCTCTTGTCTCTCCCTCCTGTGAGAATCCAGTTCACAGTTCATGCCTGTGAAACTAGTTAGTTGGACATGTGCTCACAGCTGCGGCACTGGGAGTGTGTGGTGAGCAAGGCAGAAAAGCCTTACTTTAGCCTTGAGAGAACTAGCCCTCCCCCTAACACCAATAACTGTGGGTGCTGATAAGTGCTATAAAGATCATAAAATGGGATAACAGTGATAAGAGAGTCACAGGAGTGGGAAAGGGTCTGATTTCAAGTCCAGGGCAGTCCTCTTCTAGAAGGTTACTTTTGAGCTAAGCGCTTAATCAAGACAGGAAGGCCTGGGAGACAACCCTCCAGGCAGGAATCACAGATGTCTCTGGCCATTAGTTTCCTTATCTCTAAAGAGCAAAGTGATTGTTTCTTCTTCTTTCAGAGTTTCTATGAGATTAAGTAACAATTCATTCCACAAACATTGATTGAGCACTTGCTTTGTGCAGGCCTTGTTTGAGGTGCTGGAAATTCAGCAGAGAATAAAACAGACACATATCCATGCTCCTCTGAAGCTTACCCTCTAGTGAGTGAGACAATACATGAGAAAAAGAAAGAAAAAACATGTAGGAAGTTAAGCTAAGAAGAAAAATAGATCAAGAAAAGGGAATATGAAGTATGGGGGAATATTGCATCCAGAGAGAAGGGAGCTATTGAGGAAACACCGGAGATCAGGGTCCAGCACCAGGCCTGGTGAAGTCTCTTTTCTCTTTCCTCTCAAGAGGCATTTGTAGCAGGTTGGGAAGCTGGATGCCTGGGTTGAAGAAAGGGAGAGCTTAGGTACAGTCTGCCCAAGGGACCACGTATTTCTGGCTGCATCTCTGCCATGGTCAGGAGGAAGATCCTCAAACCATAGTTAGTTCAGTTCAACTGGTCATTCCCATGTACTCCCATGTACCATGCATGGTGCCAGGCTAGGGAAGGGTAGCACTGAGATGACCAAGACTCTGTCTCGGCTCTGGAGTTGCTCACATTCTAGTGGGCAGCTTGTTCAGGGAGCAGAGGTTTCCATGATGGAGTAAGTGGTGAGGTGAACAATGGAGTGTTGGCCAGAGACATGGCTTAAGAGGCCCAGGAAGGTGCTTCTCCAGGACCGTCCTGATTCCGAGGTGTCTAGAAGTCTCTGTGAATCCTTCTTCCTTTCTTTCCTTCTTAACCTTTCATCTCAGAATATAATTAAAGAATTATTTGCTGGAACATTTTTATAATTTTCATTTTTTCTGGAAGTAAACTATAAAGTTCTAAAGGGTATATATGTTACCCCCCTACCCACCACCACACTCACACACTCCAGAAGCCCTAATTCCTAGCACAGTGCCTGATAAACAGCAGATGCCCAGGTAATACCTGTTGACTGAATGATTGGACATAACTTTGCTTGTCCCCTCAGTCTGCTCTAGGCAGGGGCTGGGAGCTTGAAAGCCATCATCATCAGGGACCATGCTGACCCTTGTCCTGTTTCTCCCTTGCCACAGGCTACCTGCGGGGCTCCAGTGGATGCAGTCTCGGACTACTGTCAGCTGAGACCAGCCAGACACTTGAGGGGCTTTTGCATGAACAACGTGGGTGGAAAACCCAAGTGACTATGACTTTTCTATGACTCTCTGGAGGAGCAAGGGCAGCCGTGAGCAGTGAGATTGCCACGGTCCTCCAACCCCCAATGAGGAGCAGACAGCACACCTTGAACTGCTGCAGACAGAAGCAGAAAAAAAGCTGGAGCCCTTCTTTAGGACACCAGAGAGGTTGCTCGATATGTTGCAGGGGAGGCAGGAGTTTAAAAAGTGGAGCTCCCTTCTCTCAGCCTTCCACTTCTCAGGAGGAAAAGTGCGTAGGATGTGTTGGGGATGGGCAGAGTAAGGCTTGGAACTGCTCTTTGTTTCCTAGAACTCAGCCTCCCAGCTTTGTGACCCCATAGAATACCTTGTTCCCTATCTGGGCAAAGGATGGTCCAGAAAGAAAGAGGAGCTGGGTTGTAGAGGAAGAAAGTGGATACAAAAACTGGGAGGGGAGGGGAGTCTGATGGGAACATCAACACGCATGGAGTTCCACCATTCCCTCCCATGCTGACTGTGGTTACAGCTCTTGAACTTTTGACCATTCTACCCCCATGGACATATAAAAGCTGAACAATGAATAAGGATAACAAAAGAATCAATGCCTTTGAATTGTGGTGTTAGAGATGAGTATTAAATATCCCATGGACTGCCCGAAGAACAAACAAGTCACTTGGAGGAAAGGCAACCAAGGTGCTCCTTAGAAATTTCGTCTCACATACTTTGGGTGTGTTATCAGGAAGGGTCAGTTCTTGCAAAAAACATCATGCTGGGAAAGGTGGAGGGTCAGAGAAAGAAAGGAAGACCTTCAACAAGATGGACTGACGCAGTGACTGTAGCAATGGGTTTGAACATGTCAGAGATTAGAGAATGGCACATGGCAGGGCAGGGTCCTGATCTGTTGTTGGTAGGGTTGCTAGGAGTTGTAGCTGACTTGATGGTGCCTAACAACATTTACAACACCCCAGGAAATCCTCTTCACCCTCAATGTTTTTCTTTTTTTTTTACCCTTGATGTCTTTCTAATGCAAATCCACTCTTTTTTTTTTTTTTTTTTTTACAGTAGAATAAAAATTTATTTTGGTAAAGAAGCGAATCCACTCTTATGTTCCTAATTCCTACAAAGCCCATGCATTTTGTAGTGATTTATTTTTTTTAAATTGTATTAGGATTTTTATAAAAGTGTTGTACACATCATTGGAAATGGAGTACCTTGATTTGTATCTATTCCTCACTGATTTTTCGTTTCTGTTCAGGGGGTGCTGGCAGGAAAATAAAACACCCCTTGGAAATATTTTTTTTTTTTTTTTTTTTAAAGAGCACCCCTTGGAAATATAAAGGACCTGTCTCAGGGTCTGGTTAAGGATCATTTCCTGGCCTGCGGTTCTACTACCCTCTACCAGCTTGAAGAGGATTGGTGTCTCCCCTCTGCCAGCTTGAAAAGGGTTGGTGTCTAGTGTTGAGGTCAGCCTGGTCTAGGGGAGGGAAGTGATTTGACACTGATTCTTGGAGGGGAAGGTTAGGGTTAAGGTTAAGGTTAAGGTTAAGGTTAAGGTTAAGGTTAAGGTTAAGGTTAAGGTTAAGGTTAGTGTTAGGCACAAGCTGGAAGCAGGATGGAATCTCAAGCTGCTTCTCTGTATATAAAGATCAAGAATGGTCCTGGGGACAGAGAATTTTTCTTGCTAAGCCATGCAGTGGATAACGAAAGCATGAATATAGAGGGTCTAACTAACCATGTGGTTTTCCACATGGCTGAAATGTGAATGAGGAGGAAGAACTCAGGAATTCTGATGGTCTCCACTTGAATTAAATATTCTTTGTGCTAGATTATTCCGGCACAGCAACAAAGATACGGTTACAATAAAGCAGTGGGAGAAAATTTTCCAGGTAGAAGCCAGTACCAACGGTTCTACACTCCAGAAATTTGATCTATCCAGCTCTTCTGCGCAGCAGTGGGGGTATAGCTCAGTGGTAGAGCATTTGACTGCAGATCAAGAGGTCCCCGGTTCAAATCCGGGTGCCCCCTCTAGGCTCCGTGGGTGTCCCTTTTCCTAGTCATCCCTCCAGCAGTCGGTCTCTCGTTTAGCACTATCGGCTGGAAAGGCAGGCTTTCCCAACACTTTTGCTGGCAGGGTGAGAATAGAGACCTTTGCGTATGTGATTCTGTGTCTGTGAGTTAAGTGCTGTGAGGAATGTTAAATAGGATCTCTGAGTTATTCGCGGACGGATAGGGAGCAGTAGGGGACTGAAAGTCGACTCACCCACCTTTTACTTGGACCCCTAGGCTTCTTCCTCAGGAAATGTATTTGTAAGGATTGGGCTTGGCCTTGGGGAAGGAAGACCCAGAGACGCCTGTGTGAGTGTGTGGAGGAGAAAGAGAGGCACCGAGAAGCAGCGAAACAGAAAAACGATAAAGGTTACAGGGACTCCATCTCCAGCAGGTTAGGACACCAGGACGCCGACCCAGAGGAATCTCGAAGGATCTCAAGGGACCGTTCCTCTCACATTCCCAAATGAATTTTTTTCTTACACCATCAGGATTTTTAGTTCAGAGCTTCTGAAAGCAACCTTTACTTAGCTTCATGTGAATAAACGTTCATTTGACGAACTCATTACTGCGCCTGCGCAGCAGTAGACTTAAGAGGCTTTCTGAGGAAAGTTACCAGCAGAGGGGGTATAGCTCAGTGGTAGAGCATTTGACTGCAGATCAAGAGGTCCCCGGTTCAAATCCGGGTGCCCCCTGCTTGGAGCCTCACTTTTGAGAGAAATTTTCTCAACTCTTTTTTTAAAGTAGTTTTTACTTGTTTACTTTTAATTTCATAATTTCAAATTGAAATTTTATTCGCCCTTCCGTTTTGGATACTCAAGGAGCAGCGAGAGAGTGTAGAAAAACTGGGAGATTTTGTTGTGTTGTTGTTATGCGCTGTCGAGTTGCTTGCGACTTATAGTGACCCTATGTCCTGTAGTTCCTTCCTTGAACTTAAGATAAGCTGAGCGAGTTCGGCCCTTTTGATTTTCCGACTTCAACTCCTTGCACATTTCATTGTAATATTTTGCTTTGT